ATGGGCTTTGGGCTGCCTCCAGTGTCAGAGGCTGCATGCCTCTGCTCCCCAGCTGCGGTGGAGGGGGGCTCTTGCATGCCCGTCCTGCTTGCAGGCTTCCCATGGGCAGCTGGCTGAACACTGTGCAAACTGAAGGCTTGACAAGGTGGACCTGGGTCTGATCCAGCATCGGGGCTCTTCCCACGTTCTTTGCTCTTGGGGAGTAACTGGGCCTCCCCACGCAATCGTTCCTCATATGCCATGCCTCCCAATCCGGCGACTTTTCTTGTGACCCTGCCCTGAACCGATCCTGACCTAGCTCTGTCCCTCCTATAATGTGGCACCCAGAACTGGACGCGGCACTCTAGTTGTGGGTGCGCCAGAGTCATGTAGTGCAGGATCAACACCTCCCTGGATCTGGAAGCCACGCTTCTGGCTATACATTTCATGGGCATGATCAACCCTTCCCATAAAGAAAAGAAAAGGAAAGGAAGGAGGAGACCAAAGCCTTCTGTGCTAAATTAATTCTGATTTCTCTGCTCCATGAAATCCTGGCCCAGTTCTGAGCTCCAGAAACCCTGACCAATTGGCATCGACCACAACACGCAGCGGTGCCCTTTCGCTTGCCTCCTCTCCTCAAGGGCACTCGCGATGTAAAATACTGATTTTCTCGTTTCTTTTGAACAGGCATTCCCTTGGACTGCCTCCAGCAGATTTCCATGGATTACTTCTCTCCAGCTGAGACTGCTTCCTCTCTCCAGTCTTGGATTTTCAGTTATCCAGCTTCCAACATTCCATGAAGCAGAAGAACTTCTGTTTTGCTGACTGTGGTGCTCTAAGCAAAGTTCTCTGCCAAATTTTGAGGCCACAAGTGCTACACAGGAGCATGGGGGAAGGCACCTTACTTCAGAAGGAAACCCAGAGAGATGCTTCCTTGCCCCAAGCTGGAGGTTGCAATTGATTAGCACAAGAGAAACGTCCAGATCTCCCCCTCTCCCCCTCCCCTCAGCAAAAGCATCCTAAGCCCAGTCCTACTCCGTCCCCCACCAACTCCAGCCCCACATCGCATGCAGCCTCTCCCCCGGATGGAGGCACTTTGGATTTCTCCACCCAGGCTTCCGGGAACACGTCTTTCCTTGAGGCTCCATCTGGGAACGTTGCTGTGGGTCAGTCCTCCGTGGTTGCACCCTGCAGCAGGTCAAGCCATCCCACAGCCCACACTAGAGTTCTCATCGTACAGCAAAACTGGAAACTTCTTTCCACACAGGCAGGAACAGAATTGCATTGCAGAGGCCTCAGGGTAGGGATTAAAGACAAACAGCAGCAGAAACCCTTCCACCTCTAATTAGGGGTCTTTGTTTGCCAAAGAGCCCTTCCGCAGCAGGACAACTTAAAGTCAAGCCATTGCTTGGAGAACGTCTCCCAGCAGGTTGGCTCCTCCGGGCCAGCCATTTCTGGTCACAGAGAGGCAAACTGCCTGCAGGCTGTTTTTGCTGGCTTCGCACTACCGTCAGCCAGAGGAAGAGCATGAGAAAGAGCCATTCTGGGACCTAGTTTCTCTTTGGAGAACAACCACCTCACGTCCTCCGAGTGATATCCAGGACAGGCTCCTGCCTGCCCTCTAGCAAAGATTACCGGACTAGACTCCGGTCATCACGAGCAGCCCTTGGGTGCTGAGGGCTGCGGCCCATGGCTAGCAAGAGGGTTCACACCTGCAAGAAGTTAATCACTGCCTCTTTCTTTCATTAACGCCAGACCCTCACCACCATGCAGGCAGCATAGGGGTCTCGGTGAAGGTTGCTGCCCTCACATCACAGGCTTCTGAGCCAAGGCTGGGTATCTCCAGAAGAGCTCTGAGTGGCGTTCATCTGATGCAAATAGGAGAACGCAACAAGGCGGTCTCACGTGCATCTCCAGTCACAATTCAAAATTTATGAGAATAACCGCCATGCATCAACATCCTGGTGAGAGGACAGAGAGACTGCTCTGGCATCTCCAATTTTTCCACTTGCCTTCTGAGGGAAGCAAATACGGTATCAGCCAAGAGAAGAGAAGAGAAGAGAAGAGAAGAGAAGAGAAGAGAAGAGAAGAGAAGACTGAGGGGGGACATGATATCCCTCTGTAAGAACCTCAAAGGCTGTCACAAGGAGAAAGATCAAGATCTCTTCTCACTGATACCTGAGTGCAGACACGGAATAATCAAGTTAAATTGTGACAGCCCAGGTTCAGGCAGGACATCAGGACAAGCTTCCTTGCTGTCAGAGCAATAGGGCAGTGGAACCAGCTGCCTCGAGAGGTGGTGGGCTGTCCCACACTGGAGACATTCAGAAAGGAACTGGGCAGCCCTCTGAGTGGGGCGGCATGACTTGGTGTCCTGCACCAGCAGGGGGCTGGACCCGATGGCCGTCCTGGACCCTTCCAACTCTACTCTTCTAGGATTCTATGAAGTAGGCAGAAAAATGGAAAAAATAGCATCCGACTTTGCAGGTGGCTGGTGCACTGTGCACAGACTCAGCACTGCCCTAGAGTCCAAGGGCACCCGAGATCACTTCAGCATCCGCCTCTCTCAGCAGCACCAGTAAAAGGAAGCAAGAAAAGGCTGTGGATTGATCATGGTCAATTTTTATTTGCCCAAGAACAGCCAGAGCAAAAGCAGGCCTTGACGGATGCACAGAGCCAGGTAGCAGAGCCAGCGGGGTTGTGGCACTACAGCAAGGTTCCCTTTGCAGCGATTTCTGCTCAAGGTGTGTTTGGGCACATCGGGGAGCAGCGAGAGGGCAGGCTCAGCCCGGAAGAGCATCGGCTGAGCATGTGCAAACGCCGGGAGCAAACCAGGGAGGAACAGGAAGCCTTGCTAAAGGAGAGGCGAATTATGTAGCCGCTCAGGATTCCCAAAAGCTGGGAACAAATATGGATGGGGAGCATTTTGAAAGCATCCCTTGAGAAGCAAACAGAATACAGAGGGGCCCTGGCAAGGCCTGCTGTTCCTATTGCCAAACCCCACAGGCAAAGCCCAGTGAGGAGCAGCACACGGAGAATCAGCTCCCCTGAAGGCATCGGAGTCTGACGGGCACACAAAGCCAGCAGCTCGGTTCCTTTGCCTCCCGACAGGAAGGCACGGGCAAGGGAGGCTCTCTTTGGAGCAGCCAGCGCTGAGCGCTTCCCAGTGACCATGGGAACAGGCTCAGTGGGCTTCCCGTCTCAGCACCAAGAAGAAGCAGCCGCTGAAGTTCAACACAATCCCCACCCCCACTCCCAAAGAGACGGGCTTGAGACGGGGAGGGTGCACTTGCCCGGCAGCCGAGATGGGCTCCTTGGCAAGCAGCTCTGGCCACCTCCAGTGCCCCTTCCAGAGCCGGCCTGCCCTTCTCCTCCCTGCATCACCACCAGCTGGTCCATCGGGGGACTTTCAGTTTTCGCTTAGAGCGTGTGGCAGACGGACGCCTGCAGTCCCCTCCAGGGTGGGGGGCATCTCTGCTCAGAGACCAGGGCACAGTCTTCCAGAAAGGGGATCCCACAGGTGGGGCTTACTGAGGAGGTGCCCAATTCAGTGGGGGCTTGGCAGGGACACCCTCAGCCTCCACACAGACTTGGGCTGGCAGTGTGTATGGCCAGTGTGACGGGGGCTGCGCACACGGCCAGCCCCCTTTCTCATCCTGTGTGCAATGGGTCGACTCAGGCCCAAGGTGGGGGCAGATGCGAAGGGGGGTGCAGCAGCTGCCACTGGGTCCACGCAGGCCGGGCCCTCCCCAAGTGGCAGCTCCACGAAGCGTGCTGCTGTCTGGGCTGGAACCACGGCAGGGTGGTGCTGTCCAAGGGGAGGAGAGGAGAGGAGAGGAGAGGGCCACGGCAAGCACTCGGGGCCTCCTGCCCTGACCCAAGACCAGTGGCTAACCCCCCAACAGCCACGGTCACACAACCATCAGGGCCCCTTCTGCAACACGGCCAGCCCCAGAGAGCTGCAGCTTGCTCTTCTCAGTACTTCTGCTCCAAGAGCCTGCATCAAGGCCAACGTGGAGAACCCCTCCAGCTCTCTGACAGCCATGACACCAGCACCCTGGGCGGGGGGAGCAGGTTCTCCATCAATAGAGGTGTCCCTACAGAAACCGGGCAGCGATCCACTGGGGGCCCTGTGCAGGAGCCAGGCTCCATGGCCTGAACAGCCCTTCCAGTTAGGACTCTATGAATCCATCTTCCCAAGGGCTCTCAGTTCAGCACATGGACGGGCGAAGGGGCTGCCCCACTTCCATGACAATCCATTCCTTCCGAGCTCTTCTCTCCCACACACAGAGCACTCCCTGCAATGGTGGCTGCTGCCACTGGGGCTGGTGGGCACGTGGCAAGGCAGCGAAAGCAGCGCCCGAGAAAACCACGGCTGCATTTAAGGAAGATGCAGAAAACTCAGAAAGAGTCCAGAGGAGGGCAACAAAAACGTTCCAGGGTTTGGAAGCACTGGCCTCTGAGGAGAAACTGAGAGAACCGGGCATGTTCAGCCTCAAGAAGAGAAGACTGAAGGGGGACACAGTATCCCTCTGTAAGAACCTCCAATGCTGCCTGAAAGAGGAAGGTCAAGATCTCTTCCCACTGATACCAGAGTGTGGGACACAGAATAATCACCTCGAGTTGTGACAACCTAGATTCAGGCTAGCTATCAGGAAACCTTTCCCCACTGTCAGAGTGATACAACGGTTTCCTAAAGAGGTTGTGAGCTCTCTCATACTGGAGACATTCAAAAAGAACCTGGACAGCCCTCTGAGTGGGATGGTGTAACGTGAGGACCTGCAACAGCAGCGGGTTGGACCCGAAGGCCTTCTGGGCCCCTCCCATGATTCTATGGGTTTCCAAAGGTGGCCACAGGACACACTGTAGATATAACCATGAGATCAGTTCCACAACAGGAACCTATTATACAGAAAGGTCAGACTGAGGTGCACAAGGCAACCTCAGACTTGTGAGTTCAAAGCAGGCAGTTTAAGAAATAAGCAGTCTGGTCCACTCCACAGGAAGGATCGCCTCCTTACCTTCCCCAGAACGGTGAGGCAGGGCTTGGGCTCCAGGTCAGGCTGCTCCAGTTTCACCACTCCGACCCAGCCATATTCATACAAATCCTCTTCATCGTTGCTATTGCAGAGTCCCAGTGGATGCATCTAGGAAGGAAGAAGAAAGAAGCTCCGTGAAGCGGAAGACCTCGGACAGAGCTGAGGTTTGTACTCCACACACAAGCCGCCTCACAGCATGGCCCTTCTCACGCCATCTCTCGGGTCACAAAACGCAGCCGCCGCGCACCAGACAGGCCTCGCCACCGCTCCATCAGTGACAGTCCAAGCAAGAAACGTCAGCTCGCACATTCTCTTCCCTGAGTGGGAATCGGCCGGGGCCTCACCGAGACTGCCTGCCCTCCCGAGCAGCCACACCTGCTGGCACCTGGAGCACCCCTGGGCAGGCCCGTCTCTGTGCCGCTCTGGAAGAAGACAATGCTCTCCCCGCAGACCTGCGTGCATCAGGACCAGTGCAGGACACGGCACCGGAGCCCAAGGGCTGGGAAGCAGAACCAGAGCTCCACACAGATGCACTCGGACAGACAGACGGCCTCCCTCCCTCCCTGGCGGCGGCCGGCATGCCAGGCAGAAGGCTAGATGTCCAAAGTGTTGTCCAGGGAGGTGGAAGCTGCAGCACAGGCCCACTAACTTCTCTAGCAACTGAGAACACAGCGCTGAACTCATTGCTCGTCCGCAGGCCCCATGGCCATGAATTGCAGGCACTGGCTCAGGGCTGTGTGCGCGGTTCCGAACACGGCGGGTGCTCATTTCCGTGGGCACGCGCTCACCTGAGTTGTCGAAGAAGCAGGCTCCTGGTCCCCAGCCCCTTCCCTTCCCTGTGTCTTGTCTGCGCAGAACATGAATCTTCATCCTCGTTCCCTGACAGATACCAGACACTCCTTCCTCCTGGTCTGCCTCCTCCTCACAGTCCCAGTCCTTTTGTAACTGGACCAGCATTGCTCGCAGTCCCCACGGGCAGGAGGCACAACGGCAGGGTCAACTGGTCACCCCCACAGGTGTTCCCGTACCCCCCTTCCCTGCTTTCATCTGTTGCAGTCACACAGGAGTAACAACGCGCACCTCCTGTTCTCAACCTGCTCGCTTCTTCCCAGTGCAAGGGCCTTCACATGTACAGCACCTTTCCAAACACAGCCTTGATGGCAAACTGGTTTTCCCACTGGGTCAGAAGATAATCTGCAGGGCTCACTGGGGGATGAGCTTCCAGGAGCTCTAAATGAGGAAGACCACTTAGGATCGTGCCAAGTAGCCAGCCAAGCAGCCCTTCCCCTAATGGGAGGCTGAGGTCACTGGCAGGGCCCCCCTCAACCCACTGCCTGGGCACAGGCTTGTGAGTAGCTGCCCTGAACAAGGAAAAGTAACCCACACAAGAATGCCTGAGTGGCCTGGGGGTGGATCAGATCGCAGGCCGGCCTAGCCCCGTACCCCGACTTCCCACCCCAAGCAAGTCGAACATCAGATGCAGTGCTTGGGGCAGGGGGCAGACGAGGACAGGCATGAGAGCCAAGGGCCTTGGAAACGCCAGGCCAGCGGCCTGTTGCCATCAGAAAAGAAGCATGCTTAACATACTGTGGAAGTACTGCCCTCTCACCATACACGGTTCTCTGTGAGCCCATGGAACCCGCGGAGACATCCTTGCTGGGATGAGCTTCTCATCCTGTAACACCATCCACCAATCCTGCACAGCTTTGCGTGAACACCTGCAGGTTCATCAAGTGGTCTGTAACCCACCTCCACAAAGTAATTAAGCTGCCACAAAGTAATTAAGCTGCAATGCAGCTCTTGTGCATGCACAACCTCCAGGCACAGCATCACACGCCGCGGCATCCACCCCAGCCCCCCCCCCCATCAGACGCACCAGGCCCCAGGCTTCTCACTGCTGGGTGTGCACACACCCCAAGGGCGGGAGGGGGCCCTTCTCGAGTGTGGCTTGCAGGCTGCCTCCACGCCATCTCGGTGGGCCATAGCGGCTGCCTTGTCCACTCAATGGGGAGGGATCGATGAGCATGTTTATCTAAGCCAGCAGGCAATGCTCAGTGATGTCAGGACAGCCACACTAACGGGGCACATGGGCCTACCCATCATCTCAACTTGAGCCATCTGTGGGGGAAATTTCCTGCACAAGACCCCTGGAAACACACAGCAGCCTCTCAGCATGCCTGCGGGGGCAGCGTGAAGGGAGCCTGGGGCTTTCATCCTAGGTCACACTATCTCCACACACTCCCAAGGGTTTAAAGCAACTTCAAAACTGACCGCACATCTTTAAGTGGGTTACTGTTACAAGCCAAGCAGTGAATCAGGCAAGGCAGTGTTCAGTCGCTTTGTAACCTCATCCCCAAAAGAAAAGGGGCCGGTGATGTGGGATGGGGGTGTCTTCCTCTCCTTTGTCCCTCTCTGATCTGCCGTGCATACGAAACTGCCTGGGCCCACTCTTAAAGGCACAGCCACTAGGAGAGCCTTTCCAATCCCAAACGGGTCCCACTGGTGCGCAGATACAACTTATATTTAGAGACCAAGACATACTACAAAAACCTGGGCTTGGAAAGGGTCGAACTCTGCATGCAAATCTCCTCTCGGCCCACCCACCTCTCTACAGTCCAGGATCACCTTGTGCTCAAAGACTGACCCAGCAGTCCGGTAGCTATGCTGCCCCTGCCCAGGCACCTCAGGTCTCCATCAGTACCAAGGCAAGGTCCCAAGTTATGCAGCACTCTGAGCACAAAAGCAGCAGAGCAGAGCAGCAGCAAGGTCAGGGCAAGGGAAGATCCCGTGTGGTGGAGCCTCTCCTTCAGACCTTTCACGCTCTCCTCCGAGGACACACTGCCAAGGAAGGAAGCGGCAAGACGCGATGCTCTGCCCCTGGACGTAAGAAGGCAGGATGCACTCCTTGCAAGAGGGAGAGCAGAGCTGCCCACTGGGCCTCCCCTGGACGCAAAGTCCCAAAGAGCTTCCCCAGAGGACCCAAGCATGACCCTTTCCGGGGAGCTTTTCAGACCGCCAGCCTCTCTGTAGCCTCCCAGAGGCAGAACACATGTGGAGAAAGATGTGGAAGGGGAGCATTTCACAGCCAAAGAGGCAAACTCACTTGTCTCTTCGCACACGGACCAGACTGGGTTTTGCTTGATCGTCACATGTTGGCATCCATTCAGGTATTTGGTGGTGAGGGAAAAAAACGCCGGTGAGGGTGAAAGCAGAAACATGTGCACGCAAGGTCTGTCGACTGATGTGTGAGCCACTGGCCACGCGAGAGCCACTGGCCAGTCCAGCCTCCAGCTCCTCCCGCTGGACCGCTTGCACTTCGGAGCAGCCCACACGAGGCCTGGTCTGGCGCCTGTCTGTTCCTCGCTCGCCTGGCAGGTACTCCATCGGCTCCTTCGCCCACGGACGGCTTCGGGGACAAGTGCGTGCAGATGAGGCCAAGGCAGCCTCTCTGCCCTCACGGGGCCACCCTACCCTGGCTGTGAGCTGCGCTCCTCTTGCAGGCAGGCAGGCAGGCAGAGCCGAAGTGGCGCGGCAGGCACAGCCAGGAATGCTGGCAGCTGCAGGCCGAAGAGAGCCGCACCACGTGGCCTGTGCTCCCACGTGGCCAGGCCGGGGGGCACTGCTGGGCACGCCGCCTGCACCTCTCTCCCTGGTTCTGCCGAACACTTCCAGTGACAATAAAGCAAGAAGAGGTGTGACGCACACACTACCAGGCAGAACCTGCTGTAGATCTGCTGGACTACAAAACCTATCATCATCAGCCACATAACAAGAGCACAGTTGCTGGTGATGGTGAACATTTTAGTCAAACCGCCTTGGCCTCATCAGGTGGAACAGGCTGATTTCAGTCTTTTGTTAGCTGCTGGATTGGCTGCCTCCCTTCCAGGGGCCCTCACACCTTCACACTCCAATGCTGTTCAGGCCATTTTTCTGCTTCTGGTACAGTTCAAGGAAATGTTTATTACTGGGGCATATAACAGGACAACAATAATATTGCAAATTATTATTGTAGATTGCTATTATATATTCTTGTATATTATCTATTTATATTATATAACAATTTAGCCATATGCTCCTCAAATTGCCTTCTCTTGCTTGTCTACTTGTCAAGTTACAGCTGCTCATTAAAACAACTTCTCTTCTCCAAGGATGCATTCTGCTTCTGCTACTGAGCCGCCCTTCCGGACGTGTTTGCACCTAAACCTTTGTGGAACACTCAGAACTGCCGTGATGGGAAATGCCAGATAGGAACATGCAGCGTTGATGGAGCACTTTGGCATGGACTTCAGATACACTGCTTCTGCTCTTGGAAGCAGGTCAAGATAAACATTCTGTAGACAGAAACCAACCACCACTGATGCCCTCATGTGGTAAGCACAGTGCGCAGAACCCTCTAAAGCCTCAGTTGACCGTGGGGCAGAGGTATGGTTTAAACCAGAGAATGCCTGATCCAGTCTCACATAAGGGAATTCCACTCTTGCCCGCTCCCCCGTCAGCTCTCCTGCCATGCTTTTTGATCCTCACGGAATGGCTGCCATCAAGCTTATGCTCAGGCCTGCGGAAGCCAAGCCCCCACTTCACCTGCCACATGCACACGCTTCCAGGGAGGGCAATATCCTATGCATCACCCCTGCCAGCAGTAAGGATCTGCCCATGGCTGGGGTTAGTGCCAAAACTCTCCTCAGCACCATCCAGACAGCTCTCCCAGCCCCTCCGAGGACTAAGAAGCAGGAACCCCATGGATCGGGGAAGGAGGGAGATGGCTCTGCTCCGGGAAAAGGAGCCCTGGCTTCCCCGGGACAGACGACAGAATGCCAGTGGAGGCGCAGGGCACGAGAAGACTCTGAAGCGGGGCCTTGTGGCTGGACTTGCTCTAGACAACCCGAAGAGGCTCCTCCACCCACTGGAGCCCTGCGCTGGCTAAGCAACGTCTCCTCCACAGTGCCACTCTGGGGTTTTTAGAAGGATATTTCTTTTAAGAAAATGAGTCATGCCCTTAAAAATAACTTGGTTTAAACACAATCCTTTTTTTGGTACAAAGATACCATGCGCACATAATCTTCTATCAAATGTAGCAAGTTAGGAACTGCTATTCTCTGTACCAGAAC